AAAGTCAATGTTTGCGTTGGTGGTAGGCTAATCCAGGAATCCGCACGCACCAATACCCTCTTTGTGTCTGATTTATCACCGTTCATTCCATTTGTCTAGTCAATGGATCTTGCCTGCCATGTCAATCTCTTATTTTTAACGTTTGTTCAATTTATCTAGGCCTATTTGCAATATAAGGTTAACAAAAGGAGATATCACTGCATATTTCTAAGGGCTTAGAATAAGAGCCATCACTGAATTTTGCACACACTCAACATTCCAAGCCAACATTCCGGTTACTTTGTTGAGTACTTGGATAAAGGCAACTGTTATTTCAGTTATATAAACTTGCATATTGGTATTAAATAGGCATGCAACAGTACATTAATGTCAGCTAAGAACGGTAATCAATGCGTCGTGAGCAAGGTGAAAACAACCGCAGAGAATAACAGCGTTACGACATAATCTTTATGGAATAACATTGTGAAGGACTGTATTAAGTGCCCGTGAAATTATTTCGTACCGGACTTTTACAGATCCAAGCTCACTTCTCAAATACGAGTTTTTGAGGTGTAAATAAAATAATTTATTACGGAGCGTGTGATGCGACCTTTCAAGTCGAAGGTTGAACACTCAATCGGTAGCTAAACATAAGAATTGGAAGCTCATGATCAATTACAAGAGACAACTTAAAACAAGGTGAGTTTGTAAAAAATTAGGCTAAGTAACCTTGAAAATTACGAAAATCCTTTGGGTTGTCTAAAAATGACTCCATCCAAGGATCGCACATATGATACAATTAACAGTTAATTGTAAACATGATTTGTTACCCAATGCGTGGCCAGAATTTCCGACGGCGAGGGTAAATGGACGACACAGTGGGTATGATCTTGGAAGGTATGACAAGGGTCCAGGGATGAGGTCCTGGTGGGGCCATGGGAGTTAATCTCTCTGCTGCCTAAAGTTCAGACCAACCTAAAGGATCTAGGCCAATGTTGAGCCATTTCTGTTCTGAGATGTTTTAGAAATTTAGAACGTATTTAATATCCCATTTTTTAATACGAAGAACATTAATGTTTTGGTCCGACAAGTTGTGTCTGACGGGGGATTACCTGTTTTCCCCACCCCACCTCCAACCTTTGCTGGCATCGACACTGTCCCAGTAGTTATAAATTTACTAATTACTATCAAGTAGTGCAATGCTTTCTTTCTGTGGCTGGACTATAATTTATATTTAAGGTAGGTCGTCAAACCGGTTTATCACACCCAAATCCATTTGCCTAGGTTACGAATCTTTGGAATGCTGTTCGCATATCTGTTCGTATATAGGGCACCGTGGTCAACATATTGGTAATATATATTTTTTGAAACAAAATAAATAAATTCGTCGAACAGGAGGAAGTTTTTTTACGAGTTGTATGCAGGCAATGCTTTCAATAACCCATAAAAACTAGTCAGTTGGAACGCTGGCTGTCATCGAGGAGGTATTAATACCAGAACCCTACATTGTAACGTTGCTTGTGTGATAACATCAACTAATTTTAGAAAAAAAAAAATCGGTGAGCCAAAGAAGAGCAAATTCGAGTCGCGATTTTCGGTTGATATATTCTAGGCCTAGCTGGACACTCTTGACTATTGACCACTTATATTAGTCGTCCTTGTCAACAATTCGCTAAGTGTTATTGCTATACCACAAGCGAGGCCAACTTGTTATTGATTGCTCACTGTTGCTCCATTCAAACAACCTGGTTCATTATTTAGGACACGTTCCACGTGCCGTCGCAATATAATTTTTTAAGACAACTGATTTGGTGCTTTGGTATACTGGCGTAGAATGACCAGACTTTAGGAACATTTAAGAGATACAAGTATTGAAGGTAATCATCCATGTTTATTTTCAATGTACATATAGGCCTAATTTTGATGAAAACATCCATCAGGGGATTTCGATTTAATTTCTAGCAAAGGAAAATAAATGTGTCGGGGATTTGATTGAGAGAAGAATCTCAGCAGGAGTTGTAAACGTCAACGTTATATATATCCGCATATACGGTAGGCATTTATCTGTCATTTCAAGAGATGGTCTGTGCCACACTGATAAAAAGTAAATCATGAACACGACGCACAACACAAGACATTCATCAGAGAGGATCTGACTCCAGAGAGGATCGAGGATGGGGTTGGGGTGAGGGTGTTCCTTTGGAGGTCCAACTGGGTCGGTCTCTGGGAGGTTGGAGTTTATAGCATCTGAATCTTTAAAATGATTTCACACATTTATTTTAGGCTGGATATTTTTGGCTATTATCAGGATGGGGGCGGACTAGTGTCCCTTCCGCCACTGCATGCAATATCATTGCCATAATAATATCGTCAACATTCCAAGTTGTCTATAAATTCATTCTATAGGCCTATTGGGAAATACATTTTTTTAAATATATAAAAACCAGTAAAATTTTGCCCAGGCTCAGTGTTCTTATTTTTAGGCTAATTTCAGGCTCAAAATGTTCTTATTTTGTTCTTATTTTACACACTTTTCAAACACAGAAAATTATATTGAACAGTAGTATACTACTGTAGATAAAAATGGCCCCTGAAAAAAGGGCACCAGAAAAAATGTAAAAAATGGCCCCAGAAAAAATGGCCCCAAATGACAGTTACACCTACTG